GAGGATAATATTTAAGGATAATAATCGAAACGATGTTCGTAATGAATTTAATTAAAGTTTCAGAATATTTAATTAAAACATTACTAATACATGTCATTCCCATTAATAATGGAATGGTGTTATCCACATTATTAATATAGAGGGATATTGAATTAGTGTATTATGCATAATTATGTAGTGGGTCATAAATACAATTTGATTTTCTAATAATTTTTGTTAAGCATAGAAAATCAAATTTGAATCTACCGATAGTCATATATAAAATGATCTTAATCCTGAGTTATTAGTAGACTTCTATTTGTGGATTCTTGTTCTTTGAGTTACTCAGTACGGATTTCGAGATCCTAAATGCTATTTCTTGTATCTTGGGTACATGATGAAATGAGTAACCGAGAATGCTAATATACAAGATGGAATCCATTCATTCTTCTTTGAAAAAGTCAATAAATAATTTCCTTAAGGGTTGATTCGGCACTTGAATGAGTAACGAGCTCGTATTCATGAATGTGTTTTATAAATATACAATTCATTAGAGAATCAATGATACTAAAGGATAAAGATGTAATTAGAGAGGTTAGGGGATTTTACCTAGCTATAATTATGAATTATTTATGAATGATCGATCTATATGTAGTGACTATATCAAATTGACACTTTAAGTTCTTAGAAGTAAATTATGTCTATAATTTCGAGTGTGCAATTTTAAGTTTTTAGTGGAGTAATTTTTAAAATTAATAAATTAATTGAAGAGTTTAATTAATTATTAATTTTATTAGAGCTTGAAATTATAGGTCCATAAGTCCTCCATCATCCTTGTATTACTTGTAAGATAAGATAAATTATTGAGATTTTATTTCACTCGCGAAGGTATTATTCACCTTGCATAACCTAAAGAAACATGAGCTAAGATCTGCATTCTGAGAACTAGAATCACATAAGAATATGCTTGAAATGGTTTGAAGAATTTAAATCATAATTAATTCAAAAGAATTTTATATAAGACAGAAAAGTTTCTATTAATAGGGGAGAGTTTGACAATGCAAAGCTGACGTTGCAACAATCAACTTTCAATTTCAATTATGCTACAGCAACGCTATAGCATTAGTGCGATGCCACAACAAAATGAAATGAAAAAAAAATAAAATAATAAGAGAGAAGCCAAGTGGCCGCACGCCCATATTCCCCACAAACCCTAACTTTTTGGCCCACTACCTCTTTGGTCCCATGGAGGAAGAGGATAAGCACTCGGAGTTCGCTACAAATATCACAAAGAGGCAGTTACAGGAGGTGTTGCGCACACTTTGTGTAGCAGGGACAAAATGGAGCATTTCACCTAGAGGTGCCTACACTCTCCCGAGCCACAAGTTGAAGCCTTGAGCAAAGATTTGGTACCACTTCATCAAGTTTAGGCTAATGCCCACCACTCATGTGGAGATTGCCTCAAAGGATAGAGCAATCTTACTCTATTGTATTCTTCGAGACAAGAAAATCAATGTAGGCAAGGTGATTTATGAAGAAATGTGCAGCTGTGCACACAAGCCTCAAGGCAACATTTGGTTCCCATCTATGATTTCAGGGCTATGCGAAATGCACAGAGTGGTATTTGAGGGTGGCGAGAAAAGGCTGAAGATAACTGGAAAGATTACTTCAGCTACAGTGGCTAAGATTTCACAAGAAAACAATATTAAGAGAGTCAGGTCTGTCTCCAGAGACACTAACTCAACCTCCCTTGAGCAGTCCTGCACCTCCCCCGAGCTCCAAGGACTTCGTGTCCAGTCGCCTTAGAGAACATGATTTCGCTTGTAGAGACCACACAATACAAGTTTTAATTGGAACGTTTATAAATCTTTAACATAATCGAAACTTTATAAATCTTTAACATCTAAAGAGTGACAATGAAACCTTATCTTTGTCTTTCACGTTGCCAGACGTTTCCTTCTTCATCTTCTTGTTGTTGTTCTTTTTCCTTTTGGTTTCTATTAATTTTTCTTTATTTTCTTATGCCATGTTTTCCTCAATAATTTCTCTTCGGATTATATTTTAAAATGTATTCAATTAAAATATTTTTTCTTGAAAATATTTTGTTTTTGAATATACGCGTTAATATATGATATGATTTTTAAAAAATTTATATTATCAAGTTTAATTGTATATAAGAATCATTCATAAATACTCAAGAATAATATATTACTCGATACAAAATACCTTTTTAAAATACATTCTCAATTCCAACGCTGATTTTTATGGAATTTGTGGGTTTGGGAAGCAATATTATTAACGTCGATGAGAAAGATGAAAATTCAACAAGTAAAAGTGGAACTACTAAAAAATTAATGGCGAAACAAAGATGATCAAGATGGAAAAAAATAGAGAATATTATTGGGTTGAAACGGCAACTCGTACACATTTATTTATTCATTTATTTTCGACGACAATATATAATACTAGCAAATGAAGTAGAACTAGTTTCAGCAGAAAAAAATAAAAAACAAACAAAAAGATAAAGGCCCTATTTGTTTCTATTTTCGTTTTCATTTTTTACGTTTTTCGAGGCTAAAAATTGAAAACACGGGTGAAAAACGCATTTGGTGCAAAATGTTTGAAAAAACAAAAATAAAAACGTTTTTGTCGTTTTCTGAAGAATCTGAAAACGCAAAAAAGTCATTTTCATTTTCTCCTCCGTTTTCGTTTTCCTTCCCATTTTCTACCGTGTCCTCTTCCTCTTCCCATTCTTCTAAAAGTTCTCAGAACCTTCCCCAATCTCTCATCGCCTCTCACTCCGCCTCTTTTGCCGGCCTCTGCCTCTTTCCCCGTCGTTTCCCATTTTCTGCCGTGTCCTTCATTTTCCTCTTCCCATTCTTCTTATGTTTCCTCGACCCTCTCTCTTCTCTGAAGTCTCCGATCTCCCTCGACCCCGCTCTTCTCCGATCTGAGACGACCCCCATCTTCTCCGTTCCAAGGTTGTCGCATTTTTACAAAGACATCTCTAATCAGTCCATAAACACATAACCCATAAAAAATTCATCAAAAGCATGAAAAAACCCTTCTAATACAAGAAGAACACCTTACCTTGATTGCTGTACAAGTTGGCCTCTTAAATTTGGGTTTAAACTTAGAATTTGTCAAGAAAAATCATGGTTTTCTAGGAGGTTTCTCTTAGGTCCGAATTTTCTAGCTCAAACCCTTACTCTTATGTTTTCTACTTTGGAGAGAGGAGAAGAAGTTTGAGTAGAGATTTTTTTTTTCTGGTCATAAGCTGCTGAGGAGTAAAAAAATTGGTGGTGTTAAACGGTGGTTGGTGGCTGAGTCATTAGTTAATATGTAGTGGTTTGGCATTTTTCTAGCTTGATGACAAGTGTTGCAACTAAATTTTACTTTGACAATTTAAAAAAAACTGAAATAAAAAATTAAACTACCAAACGTAGTTTCAGTTTTTCTTAAAATTGAAATCAATCTCTAAATAAAACTACCAAACGCATTTTCAAAAATAATTTCAAAATGAAAATGAAAACGTTTTCATTTCCATTTTTATACAAAAAAATATACAAAAAAATAAAATCATTTTGAAATCAATTCCAAATGCAAATAAAATATTGACCGGATCATAAAGGACATTGCCTTTTTATTCTCTTCCACAGTGAAAAGAAGTCATGACTAAAGTTTTATGTGTGTTTATGTGTGTTTTTTAAGAGAGAAAATACTGTAATAAATCACAAATTATAATTTAAATTATGACACGAATCTTCACATTAAATACCCTTTTACTTTTTGTTATTCTAAAAATACGTTAAGAACAAAAAAAAAAAAAAAAACTTTGTTGTTAAGTCTCCGCTGCAAACAATAATGTGATCTGCAGCTTAAAAATAGCTAAATCCCCCGCCATATGAGAAATAGATCCTACCTTGTATTTATTTTTTTTTTTTTTCGAGACTCACAAAAATATTATTGTGAAACGATCTAATTTTTCAATATATTTAAGGCTCATGGTTCTTTTTTTTAATATATTATATTGAAAAGTCTCCATCGATAGATAATATATCTCCTACAACACTAATTGGCTAATAAGTACCTGTCTTTACTTAGTTGTTTATAAATATGCATTGTGGCATAGCATTTCAATGCACACAACTATATATATTTTAGTATATCTGTCACACTTAATAAATTAAATTTCTTAAGAAATCATGGTATTCTTTTAGTTGTTGAGTCTCCTTCTTTTCTTCATTCCTTCTCCATCAACCACTTTACCCCATTTTGAAACGATGGTGTTAAATTAGTGTTAAAAAAACACATTCAATCAAAAATTTCAACATTTTAATTTAAATGTAACATAAATTTTTTAATATCTCAACTTTTAATTCCTTAAATTTAATAAAGAATTTGAGCAAATTTAGTTAAATCAGGCATATTGCAATAAATTTATAAATTCAAAGAGCAACTTGCCAAAATTAAAAGTTTAGGGGGAATTTGCTAAATCTCAACAAGTTCATAAGACAATTGTGTCAAAAACCCTTTTAAGATTTTCAGTTTAAGCATTGTTCATTTCACAACTCAAGTCACAATTTAAGTTTTATTACTATAGTGTTTTTTCTTATAAAAATTTAAACTCAACTCTTTTGTTACAATATTTTTCTCTCACGTACATAATTTTAAGTTATAATTTGAGTTGTAAAATGAACATATCCTCAAACAAGTGATAAAAGTTCGGGGGTATGTTTAAAATTTATTTTTACTTTTAGGGCTCGTTTAGTTCGCTGATTCGAGTTGAGATGTGACTTTATATGAGAGCTTTTTACTGTAGTAAAAAGTAAATGTGACTGTTTTTAAGAGTTTTTTACTGTAGTAAAACTCGAATTGGTGAAATGAACGGGCCTTATTTACGCATAAACCCCCTCTATTTTATTAATTTTTTTGGGTCCAACATCCACGTGGCGAACAGTTCACCAATTTTTGACAGCCGGTACTGGTATCCGGGTTTTCATATTTTCTTTCCCTTTCTCTCTCCACCGGGATAGGAAAAGAAAAGAAAAGAAAAGAAGAGAAGAGAAAATTGGATCGTGTGCATATAAAGGAGAACGGATTTTCTGGCGCGAGGAGAAGTTGAGTTAGCGCGCAACAATGGCGGTCCATTCTCAGAGTTTCCTCCGCTTCATCCTTTTCTTCTCCCTCTTCTCTCTCTCCTTCGCCGGCGGAAGCGATGTCACCCTCGACGACGATTCCTCTCCCAAATCTCCCTCCTGCGACAATCCTTTTAATCTGGTGAGAGAAACCCACCCCATTTCTCGATCTGATTTGGTTCGTATTTCGTACTTGTTCATGGAATTATGTCAATGTCGAGAGATTAATTTGGGAATTTTGAGGGATTTGTATGCTTCGGATCCAATTTTAGAGAAATTAGAGGTCCTAATGGGTTTTCGTTCTCGTTTGATTTTTCCGTTTTTGGGAATTTGTAAGGCAATCTAATTTCGGTTGAAGAGTTTTGGTGCTAAATTGACGATAGGAACTCTGGTTTACCCGTGTTTCTGTTATGAACAGAATCCCTATGATTTTGTTTTTTATATTTCATTTAGACAGAAACCTTACATCTATATATAGAGGATTTGGTGTCTTGAACGATACAACATTAAGCCAGAAAAACTATTATTCAACATATAGACACCATAATTCAGAACAATGGTTCCAGAAGAATAATATTACTCGCTATACAAGGCTTAATCGCTCAGCGTTGAGAAATTCGTGCTTTGATAAGTTGTTGAAAAAAAGAGTTTGATTCTGACTCTGAAAATAAGTTGTTGAAAATAAGAGTGTGATTCTGAATCTGAAAATAAGAATAATAATCTGAGTCCAGTTTTTCAAATATGATTTTCTAGTTGATTTCCACTCTAGCACACATGACTCGCCTAGAGAGCTCTGGAATATTTTTGGTGTTTCTGCACCGCCGATTCTTGGACTTGGAAGGAGAGAAGGTGGGCAGAAAGATTCAGGGCATAGATGTGTGGTTTGTGCTTTAATTATCGAACATAATCTGAGAGACTAACTACGGATGAGCTGGGTGAGGAAAAAGATGTGGGAATATGGTCATGTAAATTATGGTAGTTTGCGTAAGAAGAAATGTTGATATTATTTGTAAAATTATGTCCATATGATCTCAGCTTAAAAGTGAAAATTGCAAATCAATTGATGCAGAGTATTTGCTGCCTTGAGTATTTTAGGTCAAGGTTACACAGTGGGTTGATGGTCCTGAAGGAGAAAGTTTGGTTGGGGTCAATGCAAGATTTGGGGCTTTATTGCCTTCGCATGCTAATAAAGATCTCAGATTGCCAGCTGTTTTCTCAAATCCTCTGAATGGCTGTTCCAGCTCTTCGTCTAAGGTTTTTCCTTATTTCACGTCCCGCTTTCATTTGACGTGTTCATGAACTTTAGTTCTCAAGTGACAATTTCAAGACTCTTTAATGTAACTGTTAATGCTTATTTTTAATATGTATCGGAATGGAATATTCTTGTTAATCACAGATGCAAAGTATTGCCTTCTCAAATTCCCACTGTTTTGGGAGTTGTTGAAACTTGAAATAATCAGTTATAGCTTCAAGAATAATCTATAGACAATTAAATTTTGATGAAAATCATCTGATGAATGTTGTACTACTTGTCTAAACCGTTTGGAGAACTTGTTCCTTTTACCTTGCAGTTATCTGGTCATATTGCCTTGTCTATACGTGGTGATTGTGATTTTACGAAGAAAGCAGAAGTTGCACAGGCCGGAGGAGCGGTAGCATTATTGGTGATAAATGACAAAGAAGGTTCGATTCTATAATGAATTCTCTCTCTCTCTCTCTCTCTCTCTCTCTTTCACGCAGATGTTACATGCAATTCCTAAATGTGCTTATGAAAGCTCCTGTTTTGTTAGAAGACATCATATGAGTTTAACATGTAATATGTAAAATCTACATGACAATAGAACCTTGGTGCACATAGCAATAGCTGCAGCTTAGCTGATCAAAGACTAAAATTAGGCAAGATAGTGGGTTAAGGGATTATGTTGTCTTATGATGGATTAAGTTGGCTGGTACTACCAAACACCTGGATACTGGATGTGTGTGTGTATATATATGTAATATATATTTATATATATCTATATATATGAATTGTATTTGTATCAAATTGTAAATAGCGCCAGGGGCCTTAAGTTTAAATGCATTATTGGCAGATAATTGTTCACAAAAAAGCAAAAAAGTAGAAAGAATGAGACTAGGAAAATTAAAATGCAATTGACTCTAAAGTTCTTAGCTTTTCTCTTTTTCTTTTTTCTTTTTTAAACTTTGTTCTTACATTTTTTCATGTACTGTTTCAGATCTTTATAAAATGATTTGTTCCGAGAATGAGACTGCTTTAAATATTTCAATTCCTGTCGTGATGATTCCAAAGTCGGGAGGAGAAGCTCTTAACAAATCTATTGCAAGTGGAAAGAAAGGTTAGCTGCAAAATTTTTTAGAGTTCTTCCAAAATCCATGTCCCCTAGAATGTTTTTTGCAGTGATATCGTGAACTAGATTGGATGGCATGCAATCAACATAGAAGTAGAACTTATAGGACCAAGATTATACTGATTGCTCAAGTCTATTGTTTGTCATGAAGTGCTTCGTAGTCTGAAATGATGTGGTTGTAGGCTGTTTTTCTTTTTCAGCTCTTTTATTTAAGATGGTTTCAAATTAATTTTTCATGGAGAAAGGAAGAAAAGACTAGTATATGTCAAAATGTGCGGAGATATGGTGATAAGTTCTTATGTCCAAAAAAGAATTAGATTCTGCTTAGCATCAGGGAAACTAAGGCTCCGGAAGGTCTATGTTTTTTATTGATTTTCTTTTCAAGGTTACAAATGCCAGTTGCCTCAATTATCTGATGTTTGTCCTTTTATATTCTTGGCAAACGATATGCATAAATATGTGGCTCATTGATGTGTAGTTTGCACGTTTTCTTATTTTGCTTTATGTTTGCTTCAACTTTAGTTAGATCTATTTATTAGCTGATGTTAGTTCCCCCAATTATTATGTTTATTTTAATCCAATGGTGTATGAATGATTTTGAAATTCACAATGCAGTTGAACTTCTATTATATTCTCCAAAACGTCCAATTGTGGACTTCTCAGTGGTATTTTTATGGATGATGGCTGTCGGAACACTTGCATGTGCTTCACTTTGGTCTGAATTCACTGCTCCTGAACGCACGGATGAGCGCTATAACGAGCTATCTCCTAAGGTTTAGTGTTTAAATGTCGAGAGTTTTGCATACTTTTTTAGAATATTTGGTTTCTTATCAAGATATTTTGGATTCATAAGCTTCAAAGCTCAGATTTGGAAGCCATATGTTTCTGTATACAAGCTTCTAGAACTTAAGTCAATACATTCATTCCTCTATTATTTATTACTGACAATGCTAACTGAATACATATTTACATGCAATAAATGCTTGGCTGGATTCATGCTAATTTTATAAGCTTCTAAATATATTCAAAAGCATATCTCTGAAGTTTGCAATAATGTTCATTCAAATAAGAAGATGTTCATATTAGTATGTTTGCAGCTGAGTACGTGCATATTAGGCACATCAATGTGCATCGTTCCTACTTTGGCCAATCAGTTGTTGTATGGTACGCTATGATTGAATCCTCTCTCCTTTCACTGTCTAGGAATCTGGAGCAGCAAAAGATGATTCTGAAAAGGAAATTCTTGATATAAGTGCAAAGGGCGCTGTAATTTTTGTAATAGTGGCTTCCACCTTTTTGGTGCTGCTATACTTTTTTATGTCATCTTGGTTCATCTGGGTGCTGATTGTACTTTTCTGCATTGGTGGTATTGAGGTAAACTTTTTATTCTTATTCTATTTAATATCTTGCTGAAATTTACAATTGACAATATTTGTGAAGAAAGAATTAATTGAGCAACCGTTATATGAAGACTTAGAGAATTGGGAGTAAAAGGGTCATAGAGTGTAGAGTAAGTCTTGTTTCATGTTTTGGCTAAGGCTTAGCGGAGGATCCCTCCATATCCTTTCCTTCAATATTAATAAAGATCGGTTCGTTTCTTTTTTTTTTTTTTTAAAAGTAAGTCTTGTTTCATGCATGCGGTTGGTTGACAGGGAGACAGTTTCTGACTGAACTTAGAAACTTTCACTAAGCATTCAGTTTTATTGAATTTTGTTATTAAGGTATTGTTTCTAGATCTCCTTTGATTACTAGAATTATGCCGACGAAATGAATTACTGTATGGACAACTTTCATTTTGTTTTCTTGGGGGAAATACCTGAAGGTTAAGCCACTAGTATGGAAATTGAAAATTAACCTTGCCCTCAAATGAAAATCATGTCAAGTACTAGGTCATGTCTATGCAAAATCCATAAGAGCGAGATTTAGAAAGTTAAGGTTTTTCATAATTTATATTAAACATATGACTGTTTATGTCACTGCCTTTAACATCTTAAGAGTAGTTTATGTCATAATTTCTTTTAAACATATGATTGTTTATGTCATAATTTCTCTTAAATATATGATTGTTTATGTCATAATTTCTTTTAAATATGTGATTGTTTATGTCACTGCCTTTAACATCTTAAGAGTAATTCTAACCATTCAAATTTGTTTACTTTTGTGTCCTGCTCATTGATGTCATTTTGATTTACAGGGAATGCATAATTGTATTGTGAGTTTGATTTCAAGGTAAATGTATTTGCACTTTTTGGCACACCATTTTGACTATTCAATGTGTAATATATTTACGTTGTTGTTGTTTTTTTTCTCTATTTCTGGAGCAGTAAATACAGAAATTGTGGGAAGAAATCAGTAGACTTGCCTCTATTTGGAGAAGTTTCTGTCCTATCGCTTCTTGTATTATTTTTCTGTGCAGCGTTTGCAATTTTCTGGGCTGCAAATAGGCGGGCTTCTTATTCATGGATTGGCCAAGATGTTCTTGTAAGTCTCGTATATCGAGCCTGTTCTTACTATGCATTGTTTTAAATAATTGGCTTGACTGTCGTGTGGTTGATTGTGGTTGCTAAATTTGAGCTTCTGGATTGCTTATCGAAATTCATTTGCCCAATTCTTATTCTATTTTTTCTTTCATGGATACGTTGCAATTTGCCGTTTACTAGTCATCTATGGTGTGGCTGTGCAGCTGCAGTTCTACCTATTTCGAACCCTTAATTTTGTTGGCTTTCTCTTTGGCAGGGTATCTGCTTGATGATAACAGTCTTACAAATTGCTCGCTTACCTAATATCAAGGTGCTAGTTTATTTCAGTGTACAACTCTTAATTCGTGTGTATCATGGCTATTCTTTTATTTATTTTTTATTTATTTTATTTTTAATTCTTATCTCATCTCAGGTTGCTACCGTACTACTTTGCTGTGCATTTGTCTACGACATCTTTTGGGTATTCATATCACCAATAATATTCCACGAGAGTGTTATGATTGCGGTATGTTTTAAGATTAATCCTTTTATTTTCTTGAGTTTTTAGAGGGAACGTTTGTGCTAAGTTGTGAAACTGTGCCACAATTTCTAACTTGTTGCAACACTGGAAAGCAAAGACAGTATCTTATGAAAATGGAAAGGGGGATGGGAGTGGGGGTGAATTGGAGAGAGTTTATTTTATTATCTTCTAGTGGATTTTTGTTCTGATGAGATCCGGTGCATTAGTGCTGGTACAATCTCATCCATCTTCCAGTGGCATTTTGTTGGCCTGAAGTAAAAGGACAATTTTTCTTACCGTCGTATTTTCTAGTATAACGCTCAAAAAGTTCAGACTCCCATGTCTCCGAGGAATGTGGCAAGCTTGACTTCCTCAAGATTTGGGTTTCTGTTCTGATAGATATCTTTACTTAATAAAATGAGCTGTGTAGCGAAAATTTTGTGCATGAAGAAGTGAAATAGCAATATTCATGCGGTTGAACAAATGGTATTATTTATTGACACCATGCAACTGCAGAAATATGGGATCGGTGAGTAAGGAGAATTGTTTGTCTTGGCAACATGTGGTTTTTCTTTGTTATAAATATTTGCATGAATGTGAGCGTATAGGTAGCTGTAACTTTCTTGTATGATTTAGGTATATGAGATGGACTTACAAATTATATTATTTCTCTATTTTATATTCAATATGCATCAGCTGTTCCTAGTATTTGTTGTCACTATAATAGGTGGGCCATACAAAAAAAATCACCAATAGTCTTCCTTGACAGTGGCTCAAGTACAGCCTTTGTCTAAAACAGGCCTAAAGAGCTCTTATTTAGCTTGTTCATGGCTGTGTAATGTAGTGAGCATTTGGGTAATTGATGCTACCGAGTTCTGTTCTTTAGGTAAATACATAGCTTTGAATTTCCACCATCAGGCCTAAGCGACGGTGGGTTGGGGGGGTGTGGGGGGTAAATTTTATGGGGGGTTGCATCATTAGCTATTTGTTGGGGCATTTGGTTAGAAAGAAACAGCAGAGTTTTTTAGGATCGCGAAGTAGATTCTTCTGCCTTATGGGATAAAATTAAGTATTGGGTCTCCCTGTGGGTATATAGGGTTAAAGAGTTTGGTCAGCCGATATTCTCAGATTTTGTTAGGGATTGGGCTCCGATTTTATAGTTTTTAGCGTTTGTGTCCCTTCACCTATTTGATTTTTGTAATTTTGGGGGTTCCTTTTCCCTTTCTGGTTTAATAAAGTTCTCGTTTCTTTTCAAATATATATAAATATATAGCTTTGAGTTTATGCTATTACAACTTGGCTTCTGAGGCTTCTGAGGAGAATCAGTCTGCGTACAGATTTTCTGGAACATATTTGTTTTTCCACATTCATTATTGGGCTTGCAGTTAATTCCATGTTGTGGATGGCTCCAATGTACGAATTAGGGGTGAAAATTGGGATGGGGGTAGTTTGATGGATACATGAATCGTGTCCACATCGGTACAGCTTTCTCAGATTTTTGCATGGGTGTCTTTTTTTTTTTTTCTTTCAACGTGTCAAAAGGTAAAAACGTTACTGTTTGATAGTTCCTAATATGGGTGTTGTTTCATTGCTCATAGGTTGCGCGAGGTGATAATAGTGGTGAAGCCATTCCCATGCTTTTGAGAATCCCCCGTGTATTTGATCCCTGGGGAGGTTATGATATGATTGGCTTTGGGGACATTCTCTTTCCCGGCTTGCTTGTGTCATTTGCTTTTCGGTACTGATCATCCCTATTTTGTTATACTTCGGTAGTAAGCATGATATAATTTTTTTGTTTTTTTGTTAGGCAGATAAGACAGTAATTACTATGTTAATCCTTTAATCTTTTATTAAAATAAGTACAAAACTGAGCTACAATGATCTCCTCAAAGGGAGTAAAGTCCACACCAAAAAGCAGGGACATTTTCACTATTTATTAGACATTTTTTTTGGGGGGGGATCTTATGTGTGTTTGTTTCTGAGATTTTCGATTGGTTTTTTTTTTTTGAAGTTTCCATTTTTTCTTGTCTCAGATATGACAAAGCCAATAAGAAAGGTCTAACAAGCGGGTATTTTCTTTGGTTAGTGATTGGCTATGGATTTGGTGAGTGCCTCTGGAATATTTCTCTCTTAATTTGTTTTCCCTACTTTTTGTTTTGTTTTGTTTTGTTTTTTTGTTTTTTTGTTTTTTTTTTTTTTGAGTAGAGAGAAAGTATCAAAAAGATACAATCCATGGTGGAAAGAAATTGAACCCAAATAATGTCTTTTCCTATCCAAAGAGCAAGAATAAATCACGCGATTTCACAACACAATTTATTTAACTGCCTAGAAGAAGAAAAGACATAAGATGATCAGATCACAGGTTGTTGAGGACATCATTTCAGACCTGCAAATTTTAAAATATAAGTATAGAAGAAAAAATATTATTGAATAGAAAAGAAAACAAGAAGAATGAACATATTTTTTTTTTCTTTCTTTTGAGATGAATGAAAGTATCTTCCATAAAATGCAGATACAATCTATGGTGGGAAAATATCCATCCACAAAACCTGGGAAGAAGAGTAAAAGTCAGTAAGACTAAAGATAACTTGAAACTTTCAAATAAAATTGATCAAGATGAAACTTATCCAATAAGATGATCGACGTAGCCGTGTATCACAAAACCTGGGAAGAAGAAGTAATAGTTAGTAATTAGCAATAAAAAAGTAATAGTTAGTAAGACTAAAGATAACTTGAAACTTTCAAGTGAAATTGATCAAGTTAAACTTATCTTGTAATTTTTGCAATAATCCTGACACTTGAAATTAGTCTGCACTTGTTGTCTGCCTAAGTTGAAAACTTATAAAAAGGTGGAAAGAGGTAAAAGAGGTTAATGAACCTTTCTTACCTCGTAATACTCTACTCAATCTCATCATCCTTACATATACTATTTGTGAAGTCTTTTTACAAGCTCTGCCATTACAAATACTAAATAACTTTTTAATCTTTCATACTTTTGAACTTATATAAATCATTGTTGAACCTCTCATACGTGAGATTTAAAATAAGTTGCTAATGATACTCTAATAATGAAAGACTAATAATAATATACTTTTGAAACTCTTATAAAGAGGTTTGTATGATATATAACTTTTGAAACTCTGTAGGATTTAAGAGAATGAATTGCTCTCTAATTTTCTATTACTTTAGAATGGAAGAAATACAAAGAATATATACAGAGGAACTTTCCTTAAGTAAAGATCCTAGACTAGAGTAAACAAGGAAAGAATCTTCACTAAACTAGGAAATAGTAACAAGAAATCTGGTAATATATTATCGGATTCTTCTCCTAAAATTATTCCAAAAATAAACAATACCCAAGATTTCTAACTAATTGAATGCCAGAATTCAACACTCCCCCACAAGCTGGAGCTTGTGACTCAGTTCTTCAAAATTTGTTCTTGGTAGAGCTTCAGTAAGTATGTCTGCCACTTGAGATTGTGTAGGGGTGTAAATTAGCTGCACAACAGAATTCTCAATCTTCTCTGAGATGAAATGTCGGTCAATCTTAATGTGCTTTGTCTTGTCATGATGTACAAGATTCTTAGCAATCCTTATAGCTGCTTGATTGTCACAGAATAACTTGATAGGTTTCTCAATTGTTACTCCCAACTCACTTTGTAATCTATGTATCCACATTCCTTCACAAATTCCTAGAGCCAATGCTCTAAACTCAGCTTCTCCACTACTTCTTGAGACTATAGGTTGTTTCTTGCTTCTCCAGGTCACGAGATTTCCCCAAACATAGGAACAGTAACCAATTGTTGATCTTCTATCAGAAGACTTGAACATCTCTATTCTCAGTTTTCTTGTATAATAAACCTTTTCCTAGAGTCGTCTTGAGATACCTTAAAATTCTATACACAGCTTCCATGCGTTCTTCTGTGGGGTTATGCATGAACTGACTTACCACACTAACTGGAAACCAATGTCAGGTCTTGTGTGTGAGAGGTAGATGAGTCGCCCTACGAGTCTGGTATCTCGCCTTATCGACTGGTGCATTATCTTTTACTGTCCCTATCTTCTTAGTTGAGTCCATTGGTGTATCTCCAGGTTTACAACCAAGCATACCTGTCTCTTTTAGTAAATCCAGGACATACTTGTGTTGAGAAACAAATACCCCTTTCTTGGATCGAGCGACTTCCAGTCTAAGAAAATATATGAGGTTACCAAGGTCTTTAATTTCAAATTCCTTGGCTAGAAACACCTTTAATCTTAATAGTTCCTCCTCATAATGTCATCAACGTAGACAGTCAATACTGCTATTTTCTTCCCTCGAGAAAACTTCACGAACAGTGTGTGATCTGCTTGGCATTAGGTGTATCCATATCTAATCACTGACTTTGCAAACCTGTCAAACCATGCACGAGGAGATTGCTTGAGTCCATATAGAGATTTCTTGAGTTTGCATACCTTGTTGTTATTGAAGGTAGTTTCCACTCCTGGAGGTATTTCCATATGCACTTCTTCTTCTAGATCACCATTCAAGAATGCATTCTTAACATCTAGTTGATGCATAAGCCAATCTTGATTTGCTGCAAAAGAAAGGAGGACTCTGATAGTATTTAGCTTTGCCACTGGAGCAAATGTCTCCTGATAGTCTATTCCATAAGACTGAGTAAACCCTTTTGCAACCAGCCGAGCCTTTAGTCTCTCAATGCTTCCATCAGTCTTATGTTTGATGGTGAATATCCACTTACAGCCAACCGGTTTCTTCTCGTGGGGAAGATCTGTTATCACCCAAGTGCCATTCTTCTCCAATGCTCTAATTTCTTCACTAATTGCCTTTTTCCATTCTGGGTTCTTGAGAGCCTTCAGAATAGAATTGGGAATCTGCACACTATCAAGAGTAGACACAAAGGCCTGATAGGATGGTGTCAATCCTTCATATGAGACAAATTGGCAAATAGGATGATTTGTACAAGTTCTAACACCATTTCTCAGAGCAATTGGAATATTTAGATCATCCATAATCGGTGTTGAAGTCTCAAGATCAAGGCTTTCCTTACCCGAGTGAATTTGAGTAGACATTGGATCTGGATCAGCTTCTTGGTCAAGTATGAGAGGTGTTGTGTGCTCTGTCTCCTTTCCAGATTTCTTCCTCCTAGAGTAAACAATTAGCTCCTTATTGGCACTTTGTTGAGGACGATCTCGGACAAGAGAGGGGGATGGACTTGTAGTAGGACTTGCAGGAAGGTGACTATCAGATTGTGTAGAAATAGGAAGACTTTCGGTAGGAAGACTCTCGGGTAGTGGAGATGGATTTGAAATAGGCGATGAATTAGGCGGAGATAATGAAGTATGCCCGGACTGTATGTCAAGATCCCAAAGCTGATATTCCCTCATGGTCTCCCCCTGAATTGCAAGTTTGGGAAAGAAGGATTGGCATTCAAAAAATGTCACATCCATTGAGTTGTAGATTCTTTTTGTTATGGGAGAGTAACACCTATAACCCTTTTGGTGTGAGGAGTACCCAAGAAAGATACTTGTGATGGATTTTGGGTCTAACTTGCCACGATGTTGAGAGTGTATGTGGACAAAGGCATAACACCCAAATACTTTAGGATCTAAAGAGAAGATGAATTTGGTGTGTGGGAAGTTTTGGAGAATAATTTGACATGGAGTTTGGAACTTGAGAACTCTGGAGGGCATCCGATTGATGAAGTATGTGGCTGTGAGTATTGCTTCTCCCCAGAAATGTCTTGGAACATGTGTGGAGAACATGAGAGACCGAGCTACCTCTAATAAGTGCCTATTTTTCCTCTCTGCAACCCCATTTTGTTGGGGAGTGTCAACACAAGAGCTTAAATGGACAATTCCTTGACTCATGAGATAGGTATCTAGGATAGATTTGAAGTATTCTTTGGCATTGCCAGTTTTTAGGACTTGGATCTTGGTTTGGACAATTCCTTGACTCATGAGATAGGTATCTAGGATAGATTTGAAGTATTCTTTGGCATTGCCAGTTTTTAGGACTTGGATCTTGGTTTGTAATTGTGTCTGAATCATGGAGTTGAAATTTTGGACAATTTGTCCAACTTCAGATTTCTCTTTCATGAGGAACACCCATGTCAATCTAGTATGATCATCAACAAAGGATACAAACCATTGCGTTCCCGTTATATTTTTTACTCTTGAGGGACCCCATACATCACTGTGTATCAAAGTAAAGGGATGGGATGGTTTATATGAGGAACTGGGATAACTATTACGAGTGTGTTTGGAAAGCTCGCAAACTTCACAATTAAAGAACTTTGCATTTTTATTGATAAATAATGATGGAAATAGTTTTTGAAGGTACATGAAATTAGGATGACAAGACGATAGTGCCATAACATAACTTCACTATCTTTATTGACACAAGTATTTACACATGACTAACTTTTAAACGACACACAACTCGTATTCTGAATTTGCCTTCTTGAAGGATTTTCTGCTTTGAGGAGATAGAGTCCAAAACACATCTCAGCATTGCCAATCGTCTTCCCCAAATCCAATTCCGGAAGTTTGGAAAGAATTTAGTTACACAATTAAGATCACGAGTTAATTTATTGATGGAGAGTAAATTGCAGTTCAAATTAGGAACATAAAGAACCGAATGTAGGGTTACATCCTTTGTGATTCTTATTAAGCTTGTTCCCTTAACCCTGGATGAAGAACCATATGCTATTCGAATTGTGTTATTCCCAAAACATGGGCTGTACTCGTGAAATATGGTAGCATCTCCCGTCATATGATTCGAAGCCCCTGAGTCAATAATCTAAGGACTTGTGTAACCTTTATTAACAAAGGCCTTTGAAAGATTACCTTTATGTGCTAGCCTTTGAAAATTTTCCCCTATGTCATTATTCATTCAGTTGATCAGCCAAGACATGATCATGTGATTTTCAGTCTTCCATGTCCTGAATTTGGGATCCTTATTATCTGGAATTATGACTTCACTGGTGAGATATTCATCCTTGCCCTTCCCGCAGATGAACATCATCATAGATTGAGACCACTGAAGATAATTGTGGCCATTGAGTTTGTGACTGGTGATGAGGATAGAGGTGCCTTACGCTCCCCCATGATGATTGATGGCAGATGCCACTTCAGGACTGGAGTTCACTTCCGATATTGAGCTTGATCTCTCAATAGTCATGCCGTTCTTGGTCATGAGGGAGAATTAGGTTTCAGAGACTGAAGGTGGCTATGACTCTTGCACTTCAAACGACGCTGAACAAGTGTTTCCGTGAGAGCTGAGATGAGACGGCCGATACGATTCCTAATGGCTCTGATACCATGTAGGATTTGAGAGAATGAATTGCTCTCTAATTTTCTATTACTTTAGAATGGAAGAAATACAGAGAATATATGCAGAGGAACTTTCCTCAAGTAAAGATCCTAGACTAGAGTAAACAAGGAAACAATCTTCACTAAACTAGGAAATAGTAACAAGAAATCTGGTAATATATTACCGGATTCTTCTCCTAAAATTATTCAAAAAATAAACAATCCCCAAGATTTCTAACTAATTAAGTGCCGGAATTCAACAAACATATAAAGAGAGACTCCCAAATTATTGAAAACTATAAAATGATTAGAAATATTTACAAGGGGGAAAATTAAGCAGTTCTTAATCTACATACAACATAGAAAGAAACTTCTCCTCAAAATATTAAATATACTTATACAGCAAAAAAAACTATAAGTATCAATAAATACATGTTTTAAGTTATCTAAGTTGGCAGCATTGAGATGTGATTACAGATGAGGAAATAACGTGCATTTGAAATGAATAACTGCCACGTCAGTTGCAATAGTAATAACTTCCATAGTGAAATTCAAAATTTTTGAAATCCCAATTTATTTCTACTGATTATTGGAATTGCTTGGTAACCTCCTAATGCGAGGTTGCAACCATCTTCTCTGTCGTAAGTGGTTGAGCCGACGAGCCCGAAAAATCAACATTCTGGAATTTAGATCTTAACAGAAGAAAACAATAACTAAATAATAAAAGAATGACCATATCATTCCTTTGTCTGGGTTTTCTACCAAGATTCAAATCCATTAATTCTAATTGGGAAATATTAATGGAAATAGAGAGAACACCTAAATTGCTTACCTAAAATCCCTGAATCAAGAACTTGAAAACACATGGTTGAAACAAGAAAACACATCATGCAGAGAAAACTCAAAGAAAACAACCCATTTAACAGACAATGGAAAAAGAAAGCATTCAATATGATCCCAACTAACAACAACAACAACAAGCTTTAATCCTAACTTAATTGGGGTCGGCTATATGGATTTCACTTTTCTACGCAGCTCTGTTCGAAATTAGACTTTTCTGATGGCCTAGATCTAGAATGTCTTTCCTAACTATTTCGGTCCATATAATTCTTGGTTTACCCCTTCCTCTCCTACTATTAGGTATAAGAATGTCCTCCCAAGCACGAACTGGTGCTTCTAGCGGTCTACGTTGGATATGTCCGTACCACCTTAAGCGGCCTTCGCGCACCTTTTCTTCTATTGGTGCTACACCTACTTTACTACAAATAACTTCATTCCTTATGCGATCCATTCTCATATGGCCACTCATCCATCTTAACATACGTATTTCTACCACACTCATCTTACATATATATTGTCTGTTAATGGCCCAACATTCACTATCATATAATATAGCTGGGCGGATTGCAGTCTTATAGAACTTTCCTTTCAACTTAATAGGCATATTGCCATTGCAAAAAACTCTCGTAGCATTCTTCCACTTAACCCACCCTGCCTTAATCCTATGTTGATTATCCTCTTTTATATCTTCTTCGTACTGCACTATAGACCCAAGGTACCTAAACTTCCTACAAGGCTCAATCTCCACACCATTTAAAGAAATTCCATCACTCTGATTACTTGAGTTACTAAACCTACAATGCATGTATTCAGTTTTCGTCATACTTAACTTAAATCCCTTCGTCTCGAAAGTCTCTCTCCACTGTTCTAACTTACGGTTAACTCCTTCCATATGTTTATCAACTAAAACTATATCGTCCGCAAAAAGCATACACCAAGGAACTTTATCTTGGATTTCTCTTGTCAGCACATCCATCACAATGGTGAAAAGATAAGGACTAAGATAAGATCCTTGATGAAGGCCGATCTGAATGGAGAACTTTGCCGTGTAGCCTCCAGCAGTTCTCACACTCGTGACTACCCCATCGTACATGTCCCTAATTACCTTGACATACTTCACATGCACTCCTCTCTTTTCTAGCACCCACCATAAAACTTATGTACCCTATCATATGCCTTTTCTAAATCTATAAAGACCATATGTAGGTCCGTCTTGGCTTCTCTGGATCTTTCCATCAGCATCTTAAGAAGAAAAATGGCTTCCGTGGTTGATCTGCCTGGCATGAAGCTAAATTGGTTACTTGAGATGGTAGTTGTGGCCTTTACTCTCCTTTCAATAACTCTCTCCTAAAGCTTCATAGTGTGGCTTATTAACTTTATGCTCCTGTAATTGTTACAATTCAACACATCTCCTTTATTCTTGAAGATGAGGACAAGAATACTTTTCCTCCATGCATCAGGTTTATGCTTCTTCTTTAGTACTCATTAAAAAGCTTAGTGAGCCACACAATTCCAACATCTCCTAATGCTATCCAAACCTCTATTGGAATACCATTTGGCCCACATGCCTTCCCCTTTTTCATTTTCCGTAGTGCAGTTTTAACTTTCGAGACTTTGATGTATACAACACATTAGGTTGTCCTTGTGACCTAAGATCGTCAAACTCTATCGCATGGTCATCATTATAAAGCTTCTCAAAGTAACTCCATTCCCTAATGTCTTTATCTTTTGTCAGAACTTGGTCTGTATCATCCATAACATACCTCACTTGATTTAGGTCCCGACACTTCCTTTCTCTTATCTAAGCTAGTTTATATGTATCACTCTCTCCTTCTCTAGTCCCAATATGATCCCAACTAATGGACAACAAAAACAAATCCAAGAAACAAGTCATCAAACCGATTAACCTTAATTAATTGAGTACCGATGGATGAAATTTTGATACTATTCCTCAACAACGAACCTGGAAGTGATGTTTTGCTGAATTTGACGAGACTGGCATACCATCATATGTTGAAAAAATTTGGTCCGAGGTCGATGTCAGAGCAATGAGAATGACGCTTCACTGCCATGGGTCAATAATTAAACGTCATTTAATACTGCAAAAAGCAAGCTGATACTGCTGCCACCGGCGAAGCCAACACCGAGAGCCTCAAGAAATGGGAAGCGTAATTCGTCGATGACAAAACAGAGAGTACCCTTTCTGACTAACTCTCCTGCGAAGCGAATCGCTCTTCTTGAACAACAATCTCTGAAATGCCCGGAGATGAGGCGAATCTGATACGAGAAGTTTGGTGGGAAAAACTTGGACGGTTAATTGGATGCAACTAATTTGAGTCTTGCCACGGAAATCAAATTCTGAAGTGGAGAAAGAGAAAGATACACGAAAACGAACGGATTGTACTGCAATGCCAGTAAACAATGCAAGAGATTGGCGAGAAATCAGACCTGGAAACGGCAGTTACAGAGATCGGCAAGGAACGGAGCGATTGATCAAGAACTGAAGAGGAAGAAAGCTAAGCGGTGGCGAGATGTTCAGAATTTTAGTCCTGGTTCACTATCGGTTTCGTCTCCTGGATGGCTAGATAACTAATGCCTTGCAAGACATCTTCAATATCAATACCTGATCTATACGCCATTGAAGAATTGGATTGCAGAAAGAGACAGGAGCCGAGAGGGAGGGAGGGAGGGAGGGAGGGAGGGAGCAACAGTTTTTATCCCTTAATCTTAACTATACCCTTTCTCTTAATCTGTTTTCATACACACAAGACAGATATAAAAGATAAAACTCTTTCAAGCTTGGTTAAGAAATATGAGTACTTCTCGGTGTACTTGCAAGCTTTCTTAGGATACTTTGTTTTTCTTAGCAGCAGTAGATTTATAAAATTACATATCAATCCACTTAGCGACGTATATCAAATGCTAAGGAAAAGTTGAAAGCAATAATTATGACGGTACTAGCCGTACGCTCCTACATGTCCTTTCTTTGTAACTAATGGAGGATTGTTGCTTTTTCCAGGTCTCTTTCTTACATATCTTGGATTGTATCTAATGGACGGGCATGGTCAACCTGCTCTCCTCTACCTTGTTCCATGTACACTAGGTAATAATTTGGTGAATTGGTCCATATTAGACCTTTGTATTCTAGTTTTGTAAGCACAAGTTTTCTCCTCGTAATTTCCATGCTTCTTTTTTCATTTGGTCAATAGAATTCAGATTTAGTTTTTTTTTTTTTTTTTTTTTTTCAGGTGTTACTGTCGTTTTGGGTCTGATAAGAGGTGAACTGAAACAACTTTGGAACTATGGCACTGAGGCATCCGGCACTGAGGCATCCCCACCTAGCCTTTCCTCTGGTGAGCCATAAAGCATTAGATTAGTCAGATCTCCCAACTGTATATTGATGAAAATGGGCTGATCTTCATTTAACCTTCAATGTAAAAAACTATTTAACACGTTTGAAGAAATCATAGAACATTGCGTGATTTTACCGTTGGAGGCGAATTCAAAATGGGAAATGATTATTATATGATTCATATTCAATGTGCTCGGATCAGTTTCTCCCAGATATTTATTTTTCTTCATTTTCTGTAATGTGTGATTATTTTAGTTTTAATTTTTGTATGTTTTTGTTCTCTTCTTGTTCAAGCAATTCTTTGCTTCATCACACCATAACTTTTGTATGATCAGTGCATGTACATTCCTGGTTGAGATTGTACGCTTGTACTAGACACTAGACAAACAATTCTTGTTAGGATTCAGGAAACTAAGAAGCACAAACTACATCCTCAGTGGACAAGATATGCCAAAACAGAAAATAAAAAAGAAATCTAACCCCCCAAAAAAATAAGAGGATTTTTCTGGTATGAAAAAACAAATACCGAAAAAATATATATATATAGTCAGATGTGATTTTGAACAGTTTTAGTGATCCGAAATTGGCCTTTGGAGGAGACTTCACCGAAGAAAGACTTAAAAAGTAATAATAAGAAAATAAGAGTCAAGCTGGTGGCCATTAGTTCACATATTCTTAGTCTCACCTGCATGCAATGCTTGGACACCTTCAAATTGTGCAGAAACAAACTACTAATTGGTTGCTTGAGACAATAGCACGAGTCAAAAGTGAACCCAAAAAAAAAAAAAAATAGTAACAAATAAAAAAGGAATTTAGAATATATTTCTTAATATAAAAAGTTGTAGTAATCTACAAATAAATATTGGCCAATCATATTAAAGTATGATGGAAATGAGCCAATTTTAACAAAGGGTGTGGATTGTAATAATATAACCACCCATTATCTGAAATAAGTCATGCCCCCACCCAAAAGAAAAGGAAAATGTGGGAAAATGAAGGGAAAGTTAAGTAACTGCATGCACTTATGTATGATTTGAAGAGAAAAAAAGGGATGGACATCTGCTGCCGAGAGAGGGGGAGGAAAGAAAAAAAAAAAGAGAAAAAGTGGGCAAGAGTGCTGTAAGTGAGAGTGAAAAGAAAAGAAAAAAGGTGTGCAGTGTATGTAAAAAAAAAAAAAAAAGTTGTACGTAGAGAAAAGAAAACGAAGAGACGAAAAAAATAGAAATTGTGTATTTGAAGACAAAATTAAGTACCATTTCTTCCTCTTTTTCATTATTATTAGGACAATTTACATTTATTTTTTTGAACTATAAGCGTTTGAACAAAATGCCTTGTAAACTTTAAAAGTAATAAATTGTTCCCTTGAATAATTTGTCGTTAGAACGAGTCCTTCTTTTCTGTCCCCTTAGTTAAATTTTGAACGTTAAGTGCTACGTGGATGGTATGTAACTCTCATTTTAAGGACAAATAAGTAATTTACAGTGTTGAGTTAGAAATATGGCAAAATCCATTCGAATTTCTAGACTTGGTTCTCAGTTTCTGGCGACTTGGTTCTCAGTTTTTGAGCCACAGATCAGAGAAATTGAGTTGGGGCTTTTGTTACTCACTTACTTTTGAGTGTTTTGACACCAACGACATGATTGACTCATCTATGGATTCTGAGTGAAATGATGCGGGCGGTGCACTTCACCACTGCTGGGACTGCAGTTTTCCGAGCAGAGGTGTGGTGGCAATGGAGGGCGGTTGCGGTGAAGCTTTTTTGGTGGGAATTGACGACAAACTTCGGGTGGGTCCTGTTCCTCTCATCGCTCTGAGTTCATAGAGACCGGAATCACTCCGATCGGAGGTCAGACGGAAAAGTTATGGCCATTGGAAGTTTTGAGTTTTTCAGAACTTCAGCCGGAAAGTGTGCCTTCATTCGGCGGAGTTGACAGCCACAAGACACCAATCCAAACTCGGCTCGACGAGAGCTTTTTGATGAGCCGGGAGATGTCAAAAATGGATGCCGGAATACTCGCCAAAGCTTGGTGGTCGTGCACGGTTAAGGGAAAAGAAAGAGAGTGAGGGTTGTGATGCTTCTGATTCGGTGAGATTGTCTAATCTATATGGGCAAAATTGTCATTTTAGAGTAGAATAAAAATTAAATGCCTCAACGACTTATACGTGGCACTTAACGTTCAAAATTTAACCGAGGGGCAGAAGAGAGGGATGTGTGCTAAAAGTGAATTGTTCAGGAGAAAAATTTATTATTTTTAAAATTTAGAGGGCATTTACACTTATAGCTCAGGGAGAATAAATATAATTTGTCCTTATTATTATTACTTCTCACTCTGTTATATGTGCAGAAAATTACTTTTAAATGAAGAACCTATGAAAATTATCTCTACAAAAGAAGGGGTCTTGTAGACACCGAAAGGTGTGGAACTTATTCGCACTCTCTAAGGAGTCTTATAGACACCAAAAGATGTGTGATTTGTGGTTCACTCTCTCTAAGAAGGGGTTCTACAGACACAATCGCTAAGAAATCTTTTAGTTATCATTGAGACTTAGGTTTCTTTTAGAAGCCTATAGAAGTCAAAATGATTATACAAATCAAGGATTTAAAGTCTTATAAACACATTACGTGTGTGAGTTATGACAAAATTTTATCAAAAACAAATAATGGTCGTAAGGAAACAAATGGACGTTTATCTTTGATCTACATATAAATGCATGCTTTCTTATATCGGACGCTGACATGGAAGATGGATAATCTTAGGGCCTATTTAGTTCGCTGATTCGAATTGAGATATAACTTTATATGAAAGCTTTTTATTATAACAAAAAAATTAGATGTGATTATTTATAAGAGTTTTTTATTATAATAAAACTTAAATTTTAAATTTAAATTGGTGAAATAAACGATACATACGTACTGGTATACTAATTCAAAGAAAATTCCATGATCGTAGCGTTGGTTAAGTGCAGGGAGGATATAGCCTGTCATGTACTCATTTTAGGCCGAAATAGGTCTTAATGTAGATTGGGCTTGCAGAACCTAATGGGCCCAATTTTTTTTTTCTAATATATATATATATATTAGAATTAATTAAAAAACTCCCCTAATTTGTTCTCCTTAAATAATAAAATATTAACAAAAAATCTCATCCGTAGTGTTTTTAACGCATTTAATTTGTTATCTTGAGTATTTTGATTGCTTTATAGTTTAAAATTTATATTGATTTTTAAATTAATTTAAATTTAAACTTTTAATTATGATATATCCGTTATTGATTGAATGTAAGTTGAAAATTTTATGAATCTTTTCTTTCGTAGAATAAAAAATTTATTAAGTTTTTTTTGAATATTTAAATTAATTTTAATTCAAATTAAATTCTAAACCATAGAATTATCAAAGTGCTCTTAAAATAGTAAATTAAATGCCAATTTAAGTTAAAAACTTAAAGGAGGAGGCTTTTTTTGTAAACATTTCATTGTCAGGGGAATATATATTATGTTTTAAAAATCAAGAGGTAAACTGTTAAAAGAAATATAATTCAAGGAGAATTTTTGTAATTAATCTTATATATTTATGACCCGTTTAGTTTGCTGATTTGAGTTTTTAATTCGAGTTGAGATGTGACTTTATATGTGAGCTTTTTAGTGTAGTAAAAAATTAGATATGATTATTTTTGAGAGTTTTTTACTCTAAAAAAACTCAAATCGATAAAATAAACGGGACCTAAGATTGAAGAAAAAAAATATGAAGCAACAAAGAAGAGTCCCAAGACGTCAGTAAAGGAAGAAAGCAGGGTATTGAATCCGCGCGTATTTAATCCAAGCCATGTCATGACACAACCTTGAATTAATTTCTTCACTAAACATCGAGTCTAGAACTTGCCCAAAAAAAAAAAAAAAAAAAAATATATATATATATATATATATATATATGTAAGTGGCGAAAAAGGACAAGTCCAGTGATGTTCAGCAGAGCGCAAAAACGTTCAAAAGACTAGTAATTTCCAAAAACGTTCAAAAGACTAGTAATTTCCAAAGGAACCGAAATTTGATCAAACAGACAAGCAGACAAGTAAACAACCAGGCCACCAAGTTATGACTTTGGTCATATAAGAGAATACTCAGCCTATGATAAGTCTTGGCAGCATTCAAGCGAGCCCTGCAACTCACAATAGGCTCAGAAACATCCAACTGGGCAATTTTTAAAAAGGAAAAATGCCCCTAAAGTGGAGCCCACTTTTAGTTGTATCTATTAATATTAGCTATATATTTTATTTTTTAAACTATAATTAATTAAAAAATAGAATTTTTTTAAAGAGTTACTTTAAATAAGTCAAGTATTTAATGCTGGTTAAGGCCCTGTTTATTTTGTCGATTCGAGTTTTATTACAGTAAAAAACTCTCAAAAATAATTATATCTAATTTTTTTACTATGGTAAAAAATTTTTAAATAACGTCATATCTTAACTCGAATTAAAAATTCGATCAACGAATTAAACGAACTCTAAGCTAACACCGGCACGATCAAAGGCTCGCAATTATGAGCACGCCAGTCGCACAGATCTAACCAGATCTACAGCTCTACCATCTCGAAAATCCTTGAAGATCACTGCTCGGATTCCATGCTGTCATCTTCTTCGTTGATCTCCAGCCTAGAGTTAGAGGCTGCACCAAGTAGAACGAGAACTGATGGACGCGAAGATAGATCATTCTGATTTGCTTTGACAATCGATCGTCGCGGCAGTGAATCTTGTTGCCTCTCTTGCGACGACGATGTATCTCGGCAACCTCTATACAATCTCATATCACGATGCATGATTTCAATCTCGTGACGATGATAAGTGATGGATGAAAGAGGTTACTTTGTTTTCTGGTTTTATGTTCAATGAAAGTTCAGTTCTCTTATTCGAGTTTGCATTCAAGCTGAGATGTGATTATTTCTATGAATTTTTTATTGTAATAGAAAAAAATTGAATGTTATTTTTTGTATGAACTTTTTATTGTAGTAAATTAGAATTAAAAATTCAAATCGGAAAAATAAACACGATGGATGTTTGTTACTTTTGGATTTTTTCTATATATACTGGGAATGAGACTAGCAACCTTCGTGATTTATGGTAACCCAAATTGGCTGTCCAGTCATTAGCTGTTTGTGTTTTTTGGTTTAAAATCGGTGATATATATATATATA